CAACAGGGTAGAACACCTCCATTATACAGGAGTGTTACTGACTGTTTTTAAAATACAACAGGGTAGAACAGCTCCATCATACAGGAGTGTTGCTGACTATAAAACAGAATTGCTGTGTTGTTAAGAGGCTTGGCATTTAACTCCCAGAAACTTTAAGTTTATTATCCTTAATAATATTGATGGTTCTGCTTGATTTATTAGCAGTTCCCAGTATTTGGAGTTTAAAGCATTACACTTTAGATACACATTGGAAGGGAGAGACGGGAAAAGTAAACAATTGCATGCCGTTTGAATGGTTTTCCATAAATGGAAACACCTTTTATGAGAATCAGAAATGCAGTAGTTATAAGGTTCAGTCAAGTATTTTATCAGTTTCCAACTTGAAAATCACGACTTAAGGGAGTGGTTGTTGTCATCTACAGTTAAGATCCATGTGACACTGACAATGCTTAAAAAATCCTGTTGTAGTATGAATCATTTTAATTTTTAAAAACTACTTAGAAATACAATAAAAGTACATTGCATTCTTTTTCATGTTATGTTTCAAACATGATATAAAGTGAAAAGTGACATTACCAGAAGTACAATTTTTTTGTATGTATAGTAATATCTTAAAAAACAAAACGCAATTTCATTACAACTTTACTACTATATCACGAGTGAAAATACCCAAAGTGAAGTCACATCTAATTAACTATTGTTCTACATCAAGCAAGGCAAACATATACCCACAGGGTCTTTTTAAGAAAAGTTACCTTAGTATTAAGCCTTTTACTTCTAAATGATTTTATGTACTTTCAGACACAATTAATGTCGTGTGTTACCAGGGGTCAAACAAGTGTTCATTGAACAGATCACATGACACAAAGAATAGTGTACAAGATGTTTTGGAAACTGGCAATAATAGGACATGATATTAAGAAAAGTTGATGTCAAACTGTGTGATTTTAAACAAATCAAATTACATACATAGAAAGGGGAAAATGATGTTATATGAAAACTTGACATTAAACTTAAATCAGCTATGTATTGATATATAAAAAAACACAAGTTGAAAGCCTGATCATTAGTTTACTTTACTATTCAAAATGCCAAGGTTTTAGTTACTCCGGTGTTTTGCCCATTATAGTGTCTGCATCATTAGTTTAATTAACCGTTGGAAGGAGTATTTGTCTCGGAAGTCCTACAACACCCACACCAGTAGTCCCATTGCTGTCACTGTTTCTACAGACTACGATTAGTGAGGGCTCTTCAGCTTGCCTTGTGACGTCATCTTTTATTGGATTGAAAAAATACTTTTCATGAACCCTCAAGCCTGCTCTGCTTCACCAGCGCCAGTAAACAGCATTGTCTTAGGTGTACTGTACCTTGACATTTCTGCTTGGACTTGTTATTTTTGTTTGCAAAGAAAACTTGATTTAATGTTCTGTATTGCTGTATCAACAGATGAGAATTATAACCGAGTGCAATATGTAGTATTCAGAGCTTGTGATGGCACACACTGAAATAACAGAATTTCTAACAATAGAGGATATTGTATCTGGAAAAAAACCTTCTAATATATATTGACTATTTGAGACTCCTACATCTGTTAAGTCAATAACTGTCTCATTATCTATCATGTAATGTATAAATCTAAAAAATGTAATTTATAAAAACTATTCAGGAATTTAATGGTGTGGCGAATGCAGGAAATGTTGTAGTGATGTTACGATTAAGAAATTGTCATAATTTTGTGGTGAATTCAGGTAGTGTCATAGTTTGGTAGTGAGTTCAGGAAATATAGTTTTGTTTTAAATTCAGGAAATGTCATAGTTTTATGGTGAATTCAGGAAGTGTAGTGGTGAACTCTGAATATGTCATAGTTTTGTAGTGAATTCAGGAAATGTTCTACTGGTAAAGCAGATTCCGAAAAAGTTTTACCGATTCAGGAATTTCTGAATTTTCTGAAGTAGTTTATGTGTATCACAATATCATTAATACATACTCAGAACTACATTTTGATATAGAGGATTTACGTAAGGTATTCAGTGTTCAATGTTCCATATGTTACAGAAAGAGTGTGGACAGTAACAAGAACCAGACTAAGAAGCTATCCCAGTACCATCCACGCTACCTCTGGATCAGACTCGCCATCTTTGAGAAACAGCTGGCAAAGATCCTTGACTATCTCGTACAGCATTACAGGTAAAATCAACAAGACTATTGAACATTTTATGTTTATATCCCTATTAAATTCCAAATGGGGATTGAATATACACTATTTTGTAAGATAATCATTATCAAATGATTACTATTTAATTTCAAACTTAATTTTAACGGAGAGGTATACTAACTGTTGTATTATGTAACCAGGGCCATTTTCATTTATCGCGGTCCAAATGATTGAAACGGTTGGACCAGAGTTTTTTGTTTATGAAATAAGGTCGGACCAAGCAATCTGAGGCTGCTTTCAGGCGAGCCTTGGCCAAGCCTTGCAAGGCCTGCATAAACATTTGCAGGTCTGACATTATTAACGGAAGTACTGGTTGTTCCGCATAAACGAACAGGCCTGCTGACTAAATTCCTTGATCAGGGAGATATATAGAGCTCAGGTTTAAAGGGAGCGACATGGCATACTAATCATTATACCTCTGCATCGAAGTTAAGGAGGGGGGGGGGGATATACTGGAATCACCCTGTCTGGATGTCTGGATGTAGTTGTGCACCAGCATTTTAATTTGAGATTTCGACCCTTTTTTATGGAGTTATGCTCCTTTGTGCGAAATACTTGTCCATGCAACTCCTCCTTAGCTAACAGGTGGATTTCATTGAATATTTGCATGAATGATAGGTATCTTATGTAGTTTTATTTGCGTCCGTTTTATTATCTCCCGTACCACAATATATAGTAACAGGTCTACATATCAACTAGATAACAAATTGCTTTTACATATGCTAGGGATATTTTCATTCAGTTATTTTTGTGGAAGTTTTGACCCTTTAACAAAAATATTATTTATCCTGCTAAATACGTTCAAGTATACATAACTTGGCGGAAGGGGGGTATTAATCAACCATCCTGGCGACAGCTCTTGTTTCATTTGATACAACGTCAGAATCATTTATGCATTCAGATTCACTACAACAACAAATGAAGTGTGTCTATTCCAAAATGATTGTTTTCCATGACATACCTCTAGTAGATGTACCGTAATAACAGGTCTAGGTTGAAATATAGGTATTTTATAAGCTGTATTGGGGTGGTTGGGTGTAAGAATATCATAAGCTGTACTGGGGTAGCAGTATACAGTAGAAATGGCCCGACTCTGATAAACAAGGCATGTGTCGAGGAAATGTAAACACAGCGGATTTACCCTCACAACACCTATATACATGTATATATATTTGTAAACTGCATTACATTTACAATACATATAAAGTACTGAGAAGTGTATAAACCTCTTTTTTCTATGTATGTTACTTGTGTGAAAACCATGGTTACCACATCAAAAATTACCAAAAAATGCCAAAAATTGCTATTTTTAACCCAAAATTTGACCCCCGCAACTAGTATTATTTTTTCCTAAGCTCTGTCTGAAATTAAAGATTACCTACCTGGTTGCAGAATTATCTGGTTCCCAGTAAAGTTGTAAAACTTGATTTTTTGCAATTTTGTGCTGTTGTCAAAATTTTACCTCCTGTAAAGCTAGCTTTTCATGTGTACGCACCCTTTCGGAATATGGCCAAAGTTTTATTCTCAAACCAAAAAAATCTTCTTTCTTTTTACAAATGTGAAGCTCACATAGCCAACTTCATCATGCTTATACCAATTTTAGTACATTTTTATGTTTATATTTTTTTTTACATATCATTATACAGGGGTTAGCCATTTAACAAAAATATCACCCATGGCCACAACCCTCTACTGTATACTGCTACCTGGGGTGGTTGGGTGTAGGAATATTATAAGCTGTATTGGGGTGGTTGGGTGACAATGGATAACATACTCACCTTTCACCAAAGAGGGGTTCCAGTGATTATCATAAGTTGAAATCACTTGTCCATAATTGTTGTAAAAGAAATAAAGTTATATTTATTTAGCTATTATTACAGATACATGCTACAGACAATCATTGTCTTCTGATTAAGCATGAATTGTTTGTGTTTACAGTAAATACTATGAAGAGGACGCCCTTATTTCAGACCCGGTAGATGGACCAATATTTGCATCATTACTAGGTATGTGTAAATTAGTTACCTTTACATGTGAGAAACATTACAGAAAGTTCAGCAGATGATGGAACTTAATCTTCAAGTAACCAATGTATAGATAATTAAAATCTGATATGTTATTAAGTGTAAAGTATATTCTTTCTATAAACAAAATAAATTTTCTTACCAGTAATTGCTAAGGATTAATATATATAAATAAGTCTCTAAGAGATTTAGATCTCATTTCTAGCAACAGAGGCACCTTAGAGTAGACTGAATCGTTTGAAGTGTAGTTCAATAAATAGATGTCATAACTATGTTTTTCCTCAGTTGGGCCTTGTGCACTGGACTACACAAAAATGAAGACTCTTGACCACTACTGGACTGACCCTCCGGCCGATGAGCTTGTCCAGCGACACAGAATCCACTCCAGTACAAACCACCTGACAGGGCCTGGCTCACCCAAACGCCCTGGACTACAGGTATTGAAAACAGGGGTTAAAGGTCAAGATCAGAATTTGATATCATTAGCAAGGTGAAATGTAAAGACCATAATGTATTCAGTTTCTGGAGAAATTGAGAGCCATAAACTGATTTTTGACACTTTTGTTAGGTAACGCACGTGTCTAGGGGATCGTGCATACTACGAAATTTGCTTAATGTGGAATTGCACAGTAGATACTTACACCACCTATGACTTTATATAGTCTTCTGGTCCTTATATGGTAGCTGATATCTCCTTATATGGATGTCATTCATTCACATTTCATTCATATGCAAATGTTTTTGGCAACAAATTCTAGCATTTTCATTTATACCGTTATAAAGCATTCACTTCGATACTTTCTTAACTAGCCATATGTATGTGAAAAATACAACAATGCATGTATTTTGTGAGTATACAATTAATAAAAAATATTCTGATTAATTTTCTGACGATGCTCTGCTTGCTGAAATTGTGCTTCCCGTACTCTTCCCCGAAGTGGATGGTTTCCTCCAACCTACTTACTGTAGTGTTCCAACCAAATTACAGTACACAGTTCCCGTCACTGTTTGAAACACAATGCTTTATATCACAAAAAATGTCACTGCAAATAAGCCTGAAATTATACCACTGACCACTTGAATATGACTATTCTTTCCGGCAGAATTAAGAAACTCTCTCCAACATATTCTATCCGTTTCAGTATAGTCACAGAAAAGATCGACAGGACCAGTACATTAACACAAGAAAAGAACTGTAAAGCTAGCCATGCTTGGATAACTTTAGCTACTCATCAAACAGCAAGCAGCCGAGCTGGCTGGATGTGGCCGAAGGTCACTGCCGCGGTTTACCTGTATTTCTGCAAAACCTTATCTCCCTTAGTAAAACATTGGACTAACCTGATCAGATGTATTATTCGACTAACCCAATCAGTCAGATTTTAGATGATTTTGTGCCGCTTTTGTAACACAAGTCAAAATTAAAAGAAGTACTAGCAGAGACGTATATATTGTAATATATACGTCTTTGGAATTACACGTAATATTTGATAATATATATGAATTGTTTACAGATAATGAACGGCAAAAGATGGAGTGCGATATTTTCTCTATCAAACATGCATGTACATCACAAGATATTTTATCAGTTCTAATGAAACATGATGTGGTGTGTTCAAGACAGGGATTGAAAGACATGTTTGTTACAAACTTGTTACACATTTATTCAATTTAAAAACGCAGTGTTTCTGTTTACTGTTTTATGTTGTGAAAATACATCTTTGCTATATTATAGGAGTTTTTTGTACTAGAGTGGAACCTACTTATTATGATGTCGCTATTATAATTCTTTTCCCATGTACCAATTTTATCCTTTAACTAAGCAAAACAAATTGTTTATTATGATATGGTTAAAGGTTGGACACTACTTATTATAATATTTTTTTTCTGCCGTGAATGGATTTTATAAGGTAAAAACTCAGGTAAATTGTCCGTGTTTGACACCAGGACAACTGAAACAATCGGCTAACTATACATCGCCTGAGGTGAGCAACTGTCCACTCCAGGTAAAATGTTCACACCTCGCTTCACCCCAGTCAGCGGAAAACAATAGATCAACCATCGCCAAATGCATTTCAAATGTTGCATGTGGTCAGGTAATCATATGTTTTTAACAGAGGAAATATTGTGGGCAAAGTTTATTGAACTGTCGGGGGCTTGAAATCCCTGAGCACTCATCCCTTCGATCGCTGATTGGCACTCATATTACAGTACTATGTCATCTGAATCAGATCGAGTATCTTGACGTGTTAACTCAATGCTTTTGTAAAGATTTTGTGGCAAGGTACGTACTCTGAATCAGTGAATAACATGTTAATTTGTTCCAAAATATACAGTGTGCAATATAAATGAAACTCCAGAATGATATTATGTATCACCCCAAGCTTGTATAAAGCCAATATATAGTCCACGTCTCTGACTCACTGTTACCTTGATGTTGAAGTCAATATATTATGTTTTGGGTTCATTGCGATCGTAGCAAGCTTATCTGATTTTAATATTCTGTAACTGTGTATCACACTGCCCGTGCAATATCTGTCCCATCCCCTTATATGTTTATAAACTCGGTGTTGAACTGTTGACACTTCCCCAGCATCAATTAAATTGGTCAGTGAACCATGATAGAGACGTTTGTACCTGTAAGGTCAGTGGTCCGTAGTAGTAACAGGGTACAAGTGTTAAATTTAAAGTTTTTAATACGAGAATCTTTTTCTTGCATGATGGATAAACAGGTTGTTATTTTTCTGGTGAAAATTGAAATACATGTAAATATTCATGATTCATTCCACTCTGGCATTTTACTTTAAAAAAATGCAAGTTGGGAAAGTACAAGGTGGCTATAGCTAGCCAAGACAGGTATCTAACTTAATTTTGTGCAACAATATATGGTTCAGATAACATGCGTAGCAAAATAAACTGGAATGGTAACACCTGTCAGGAAAAAAACTGGATCCGCCCCTAGTCAGTTCTAAAGAAAATATAATAAAAACTGTTGAACAGGGAAAAAGCATGACTAATAAAAATTCCTGTTAAATATTATATAAAATAATAAACTTTGTAACAATGAAAACAACAAAAACATTAAATGATGTATTCTTTCTTGTATTTCACGCAGCACAGGAAGCTTTGGAAGATGTGAATAAATCCAAAGAGGCTGCAAATCAATTATCAAAAACAACTGGATTAAAACTGAAGATATTATTATCTGCAATAAAGATTTAACACATGATCATTAAATGGACTGCATGATTGCCAGACATCGGATACATGCTGTGCAGTTGTGGCCCAATATAATAATAAATAATAATATACAACATTTATATAGCGGCCTATATAACTTGTAAAATTACTCTTAAGACGCTTTACAACATATGGATAATAGTAATGGTTATAATTGTGAAAACAAACAACAAAGGCTTGCAATCACTTTCATACATTTAACAAGCAATGTGCACATAATTGAACAAATAAAAGGGTGGTATTTACATGACATCTTTGCAAAGATTCTAAAATGCAGACGTGAAGAGGTGAGTTTTTATGTCCCTCTTGAACTTGGCCAGGGTATTTGACTTCCTAATACTGTAGCAGATGGTAAGCTATTCCACAATGTAGCCGAAACCCTCCTAAAGCATCTGTTTCCGTAGGTCACAGTACAAGATTTTGAGACACACAAAAAAAGATTCTGACTCCGACCGCAGTGATCTTGACGGCTGATACAGGATAACAAGCTCCTGTAGGTACTGAGGAGCTGTTCCATTCAGTGCCTTGTATGTGTATACCAGAATTTTGTACTGCGACCTGTATCGTACAGGTAACAAGTGCAACGAATAAAGCGCAGGTGTGATGTGCTCTCTCTTTCGAGTACGAGTAACTAGCTGTGCTGCAGTGTTCTGTACCCTCTGTAGACGACTAGTTAGTTTGTCAGATATACCACAGAACAGGGCGTTACCATAATACAACCGAGACGTAACAAGTGAATGCACCAAAATCTTGCATGCATCTGCAGTTAGAAACTGACAAATACAGCCGATGTTCCTGATCTGGTAGTAACAGGATTTGGCAATAGCGTTCACTTGTTTCTCCATGTTCAGAGAACTGTCAAAGTATACCCCTAGGTTTTTAACAGCTGGAACAGTCTCAATAGTTCTGGCACCAACCTTGAGCTGGAGAGCCATTGAATATGGATTCAAAAGTGTCCATCAAAGCCATTTTAGCACATATACATTTTTTACATACACTGGTAGTACGTGATCTCTCATCAAAAAAGTTGAGGCCATAGCTCCCTCACATATCCTTCCCACCTAGTCACTTTCCTCATTGGTTGGTGCATTTTGCAACAGTTCATGGGGCCCCCTTTATGGGTATCAAGCCTCGTATTGGTATGTCCTGGAATCAGAACTTTATTGTAGGTTACAACCAATATTAAAATCCAAATATGTTTAAGTTGAAAATTGCCACCTATTTGAAGAAATATATCTAAATGAGGAATTTATGAAGGATGGGGGACTTTCTGATAAAAAAATCTGTGAGATGTCCAAGACCACTGGCATAACTGTTTGTGTATCAAATACTTGTATAAATACACATACATGCAATACGGCAGTGTGTAGTTTCATGAACATACTTGTGTAACTTACAGAGCAGTATTAAACCACAAGAGGCTTGAAAATCTGTATATAATATACTATTAGTAATAACACAGCATGTAACTGTCCATGGAAATTTACCTGGCAAGTCTAGTACATTTCACATGCTGTGAAATTAGCAAGTGATGGTTAAGCTAAATTGACCCTGAACTTGAAAAAATTTGGGAACTGTGATTAACTGTTGCCTCAGCACATTTCACGATAACACACAATACACTTGACTGACTTATTGTAGAATGGATTCCATGCTATACCCCTAGTTTACATACGTAAGAAAACTCAAGATCTCTTTCACAAGCCGACCCTATTTTTTGCATAAAAATAGATAACTGAAGTTTGATGTGATTCATGTATTACAATATTTATTTGCAGTGAGATTGTTATGACACAATGTTAATTAGTCCCCCGCCGGTCCCCAGATGGAGGATATAGAAATTGATTTAAATTTCATGATGTTACTATAAACATAATTATATGAGGAGGTGTATACTGACATATGACCCATGGCAAAATCCTACTTGACCTAAAGACATTTGTGGCACACGTGCACTGCTGCTGGTCTGTAGGAAATATATGTTTCACCCTCTACCAATAGGCACTAAAAAGATATTGCAACAGTCATTTAATTATTCATTCGGAAGTCAACTCTTTATTTATGGCAGAAGCAGAGCCCAAAGCTTCTTGAAGCAGTACTTGTTGTTGTTCCTCGGAGGGAAAATACATTTCAGACTATTGCCAACACAGACATTAGATAAGAGTAAATATTCGTTCACGTCATTTTCATCAAATTTAAATGGTGTTTATCCTGCATCTCAACTGACTATTGTGTTTGTTTTACCTAAAATGTTATAATCAAGAAAGCATGTGTCTGGAGTACTTTCAGTACTTTGATTAGCTTACTACTGTATACCAGATTTTTTTTGCCCTTCGACAGTAAAATCCATTTTCGCCCTGTATTAAATTATGTTGTTAACAAATTTTCACCGGAATGATAAAAACTGCAGCGAAATTTCCTGGTATACAGTGTCTTGTGGGAAAACTTTTTAGACTTCCACTTTGTCAGATGTGAGAATGTTTCATAAATTTATGAATTTTCGATCATTTATATCATTAATACTTACATTCAAAAGACATAAAAGATTTCAAAACCAGTTTCCATTACCTATGATTAGCTTCCCTGGTATGAACTGCCAATGAGCTCATGCAATGGCATGATGTCCATCGTCTATCAAGTTTTATAAAACTACCACCCGGAACTTCTGGTTGTATGAAGTAACATTTGTTGTGCTATAGCGGTGAGAAGTGGCTTGTGTTTTGTTATTAGAGTTGAAAAGTAACCTGTGTGTGTTGTGTTACAGACGCCTAACCTGTGTGTGTTGTGTTACAGACGCCTAACCTGTGTGTGTTGTGTTACATACAGATGCCTAACCTGTGTGTGTTGTGTTACAGACGCCTAACCTGTGTGTGTTGTGTTACAGACGCCTAACCTGGATGTGTTGCAGGTGAGACGTAATACCAGCTCCAGCAGTGAGGAAAGTTCAAAGAGCTTCCATCTGTCTGCAAAGGACTACGTTGAGAGCCTCCATCAGAACTCTAAAACCACGCTCCTGTATGGCAAAAACAATGTCCTGGTACAGCCCGTAAGTCCACCATACTTCATCCGCTTCTCAACAATGTATTTAACCCTTTCATCCCTTTGTAACTTTAGTAGACTCTACCATGCATTGATCTGGATGAGTCCATTCTGGGCTACAGTGGTGAAAAGGATAATGCTGTGAGAACCTTATTATACTACATCCAGACTAAGATCTTGACGTTCTTTACATCCTCTACATTCTCATACTTGTGAAATGAAGGTGCGTCACAATATTAGGGGTGTGCAGCCACTTTGTTGTATGTGAAATGATCATTTCATTTTGGGCAAAGAAACGTCCATCACTCGGGGATCGCTGAAGGGACCATTGACTTGTCCTCTTCTATAGCATTGTGAAGAGCCTAGTGGCTATTCCTGTAGATCAAGTCTTGCCCACATCAAATAATCGGACCAGAGCAAAAAATCAGTGAAAATTTCCAGCCGTTTCAGTGTCATACTGACATTTATACAACTCATTCTGTCCATGTAACAGCACTGATTGGAACAACCTCCCAGAAGATCTGGTCAAAAGATCTGACTTCAAAACTTTCAAAACTCTATTATCAACAACTTTAATCCCAAGCCGGTCCTCCAACCCTGGAACTATACTCAGAATCGAGGTCTCTTCCAGTATTATACAGATACAGAAAGATTTCTTTCCTGAAGTGTGTGAAAGAAATTGAGTGATGGTTTTGGTTTTATAGTTCAAGGACAAAGTGCCGCTGATGTTGCCAGCTTTCTCTTCCTGATGCAATTTGTCATCAATCATTCTCCAGTTGTCTGGTACATTACCAAAAATGTCTTCTGAATTCTTTGTGATCCAACTTTGTCAATCATCATGCATTAACAATTTACATTTTCAACTTCTTTGTTAAAATTGCTGAACCAAATTTGATTGAACTTAGCAGGATTTATCAGTGGAGTGGCGGAATTTAAAGTGTTGTTCAAATGATGGGTGCCAGCCCTATAAAAAGCCAAAAAGAGGAAATTGGTAAAAAGATTTCAAGAGCTTACACATTTTAGTTGCGAAAAGGTTAAGGTGTGGAGAATGTTGTCCATGTCTTATCCGACCCCAAATTGGATCTTTATGAAGAAATAGCTCTTCCTGTCTATTTTATGAAGTGATTTCAAACCAAATTGAATTAAATCATCTCAAAAATAATACCAATACATACCAATTATATTATGGGACCTTGACCCAGGGGACCATATGAGTTGGGCCAAACATGGGGAAGTTTGATTTTTTAAAAACTTCTTAAGTACAGTGCTTATTCCAGAGTTTATCCATTTCATTTGTATTAAGGTCTGGGTGTGAAGAGTATAAGCTGCTCATGTTGTCTTCCTTGGACTGAAAATGAGGTCACAATAAGCGACCAAATAAATAATATATTTATGTTGACAAACTGACCTAGGGATCTATTTCTCTCATGTTGATGAAGTTTCTTCAACTACAATTTACCTAATTCATCATGAAAACTTCTTCCTGTTCTGGTTATATAACCCCTCCATGTCACCAGCTATTTATATAGTTACCTGTTACATCAATCTCGGGTGGTTGGTAAGGCCCTTCAGCCTTTGCATTGTAATTTGTTCTTACCATCCATGTTCTTTAGGTATAATTCATATGTTGCCTTTTATTGTTTTCTGAAATTTAACCCAACATCTTCTCAAGCGTTAATCAAAGATTGGAAGACTTTTATCACTTACACAACTATACAATCTGTTAAAACTCTAAAGAAGAATGTGCATGACCTTTTTTCCAGTCAATGTTTTTTGTATATTTTATTTCTTTGTTAAGTGTAATATATTGTTATGATTGTTTTTTTAATTGTTCTGTTAGAAAGAAGATATGGAGGCATTAGCGGGGTACCTGTCTCTACACCAGTCTGCCATGGGACTGACCATTATGTGGACTCCCAACCAGCTTATGAACGGCTGTTGTGAGGAGGAAAGTGATGAGAAGGACAGGAGGTAAGGAGAGGGAGGGGAAAGGAGGTAAGGAGGGAGGTCAGGAGAGGGAGGGGACAGGAGGTAAGGAGAGGGATGGGTCTGGGTTAAGGAGAGAGAGGGAGGAGACAGGAGGTAAGGAGAGGGAGGAGACAGGAGGTAAGGAGAGGGAGGGGACAGGAGTTGAGGAGAGGGAGGGGACAGGAAGTAAGGAGGAGACAGGCAATAAAGAGAGGGAGGGGACAGGAGGTAAGGAGAGGGAGGAGACAGAAGGTTAGGAGAGGGAAGGGACAGGCAATAAAGAGAGGGAGGGGACAGGAGGTAAGGAGAGGGAGGAGACACAAGGTAAGGAGAGGGAAGGGACAGGCAATAAAGATAGGGAGGGGACAGGAGGTAAGGAGAGGGAGACAGAAGGTAAGGAGAGGGAGGGGACAGGAATTAAGGAGACGGAGGAGACAGAAGGTAAGGAGAGGGAGGGGACAGGCAATAAAGATAGGGAGGGGACAGGAGGTAAGGAGAGGGAGACAGAAGGTAAGGAGAGGGAGGGGACAGAAGGTAAGGAGACGGAGGAGACAGAAGGTAAGGAGAGGGAGGGGACAGGAGGTAAGGAGACGGAGGAGACAGAAGGTAAGGAGAGGGAGGGGACAGGAGGTAAGGAGAGGGAGGGGACAGGAGGTAAGGAGAGGGAAGGGACAGGAATTAAGGAGAGGGAGGAGACAGAAGGTAAGGAGAGGGAGGGGACAGGGGATAAAGAGAGGGAGGGGACAGGAAGTAAGGAGAGGCAGAAGACAGGAAGAAAGGAGAGGGAGGAGACACAATGTAAGGAGGGAGGGATGGAGAGGGAAGGGACAGAAGGTAAGGAGAAGGAGAGGGCAGGGGAAAAACAGAGAGAAGGGACTAGAGTTAAGGAGAGGGAGGGGACAGAAGGTAAGGAGAGGGAAGGGACAGGAATTAAGGAGAGGGAGGAGACAGAAGGTAAGGAGAGGGAGGAGACAGGAGGTAAGGAGAGGGAGGGGACAGGCAATAAAGATAGGGAGGGGACAGGAGGTAAGGAGAGGGAGACAGAAGGTAAGGAGAGGGAGGGGACAGAAGGTAAGGAGACGGAGGAGACAGAAGGTAAGGAGAGGGAGGGGACAGGAATTAAGGAGAGGGAGGGCACAGGCAATAAAGAGAGGGAGGGGCCAGGAGGTAAGGAGAGGGAGGAGACACAAGGTAAGGAGAGTGGGCAGAAGGTAAGGAGAAGGAGGGGCAGGGGAGAAAAAGAGAAAGGGGACTAGAGGTAAGGAGAGGGAGGGGACAGGAGGTAAGGCGAGGGACAGGACGGGATAAAGAGAGGGAGGGGACAGGAAGTAAGGAGAGGGAGGGGACAGGCAATAAAGATAGGGAGGGGACAGGAGGTAAGGAGAGGGAGGGGACAGGAGGAAAGGAGAGGGAGGGGACAGGAGGGAAGGAGAGGGAAGGGACAGGAAGTAAGGAGAGGGAGGAGACAGGAAGTAAGGAGAGGGAGGGGACAGGAAGTAAGGAGAGGGAGGGGACAGGCAATAAAGATAGGGAGGGGACAGGAGGTAAGGAGAGGGAGGGGACAGAAGGTAAGGAGAGGGAGGGGACAGGAGGTAAGGAGAGGGAAGGGACAGGAATTAAGGAGAGGGAGGAGACAGAAGGTAAGGAGAGGGAGGAGACAGGAGGTAAGGAGAGGGAGGGGACAGGAGGGAATGAGAGGGAGGAGACACAAGGTAAGGAGAGGGGGCAGAAGGTAAGGAGAAGGAGGGGCAGGGGATAAAAAGAGAAAGGGGACTAGAGGTAAGGAGAGGGAAGGGACAGGAGGTAAGGAGAGGGAGGGGACAGGAGGTAAGGAGAGGGACAGGACGGGATAAAGAGAGGGAGGGGACAGGAAGTAAGGAGAGGGAGGAGACAGGAAGTAAGGAGAGGGAGGGGACAGGAAGTAAGGAGAAGGAGGGGACAGAGGATAATGAGATAAAGTGGACAGAGGGTAAGGAGAAGGAGGGGACAGGGGGTAAGGAAATGAAGTGAGTAAGGGAAGGGAGACAAGGACAATGAGGGTAAGGATAGGAGTAGAGATATTGAGGGACAGGGGTCCAGAACATGGAATAGGGAGGGGACAGGAAGCAAGAAGGCAGGTAGCAAAGATAATAGGGAGGGGACAGGAAGCAAGAAGGCAGGTAGCAAAGATAATGAAGAGTTCATGCCCAAGGGTTAGGGAGCATGAGAGGAATAGGAGTAGTTGAGGTGAAAAAATGACAAATGTGNGGGGGGGGGGGGGGGGGGGGGGGGGGGGGGGGGGGGGGGGCATAAAAAAGGATATTGAAGAGGATGAGCGATGCAGAAGTAGGAGTGAAGAGAGGATAGAGGAGTAGGCAGGTAGAAGGGGTTAGAAAGAGGCTAAAAGTATGAATTATGGAAAAGTTGTGGAATAGGAATTATTAGAAGGGGTTACTCATAGGAATAAAGACACAAGGTTGGAATTCAAGTACATTATAAAAGGGAACAAAGAAGAAAAGATTGCCAGGGGATAAAGATGTAAAAACAAGAAGGATAGGATTGTTTAGATAGGTAGCTAGAAAATCATTGAAACAAAACTGGCGGTACATCTCAGTCTATCAGCTAGTCAATGCTGCCTGGGGATCTCTCGGCAACATAACCTCCCTGCAGTTACTTTTGGGTGAAAGATTTGATCTTTAGGAAGTGAAGGGTAATAAGTAAGGGCAGAGGTTTAATGATGACAGTAAAAAACATAACTGTTGTGGATAGAAGGATGAAGTTGTTGTACATTTTTCTGTGTCTGTATGTGATTTACATATATTTGCTTAACTTGTTCTAACGGTAAGTAGACTTGATAAATGATTTAAAGCAAATTGAGCTGAAATCACTAATCATTTATATATTTCCTTATAGACACAATATTCCAGAGTAATTTTTACCTTGTTAGATGTATACTGATTACTATTCTCCCATAACATAATGTTCTATTCACTGTGCACATCTGACAGTAATAGCCTAAATTAGACACGAATTCGTATTTTAACTTATCTAGCCTGAAGGGCTAGGGGAGCTTATGCCATGGCATGGCGTCATTTGTCTCCATTTTTTCATTTTTTTATTTATTTATTTTGCCACAAGGGGTAAATTGGCAATATTGCAATAAGTGATATTTCTGGAACTACTTCTCTGAATATCAACAGTATTTGGTTGAAAAAATCCTCAGGCCTGAGATGCAGGTCCAAGATGGGGTAATAAGACACACACAAAATCATGCTACCTGAGGGTTGATTCCAGGGTTTGGCCCTGTCCATGAGGATTTAGTCCTTGAATCAAAATTGAGAAATGAATGAGATCCCCATCCATACCTATGTATGCAATTATGTGTATAAAGAGACTAACACAATCATGCTGTCACAATTGGCCTAAGTGTTTGACCCCATCCCTGGGTGTCAACATGGAAATGATAGAGATCCCTGCCCTATAACTATATATACAATTGCTTGGCATGAAAAGATTAATTCACATCTGCTACCAGAATTGGCCCTGGGAGACTTAGTCCCTGGGTCACAGGGAAACAGTTGAGATCCCTGCCCTATAACCATATATACAATTGCTGGGCATTAAGAGATAATAAGCCACATACCGATTGCTCCTGTAGTCCTGTCGGTCACTTGGTACTAAGGTTACAACTTACCACAACCCACAGCTATAACCATTTATGCATTTGCTGGAGAACCATTTATGCATTTGCTGGAGAGACAAACATAATGATGTTACCAGGATTAGCTCCAAGGTCTGGTTTTGCACCTGGAGAATTCTTTGAAATATCACTTTTAATTAGAATATTTTGTCATGAGTGATTGAGCGTTACAGGCCCTCTGGCCTTATTCTGTGTAATTTGTTTTGTTTTGTATTTTTCCTTTTACCATTTTTGTAGCTTTTGTTATTTCCTTTTTTCTCTCTCTGGTGTATCCTGCGTTACAACCGAGCCACCCGAAACTCACTTTATAAATACACACTTACTCAGACTGTGTATCGCAAAGTTCAGTAAGTTTGCATTGAGAGTTATCTCCCTTCACAAATTTGCAGATTTGTATGATTTTCCTTAGTGAATTGTGCGTTTGTAGCCTGCAAATGATTCCTCCAGGAGCTATGCCTTGTCGACCCTGCTAGATATTTTGGTGATGTTAAGACTATTTAAAGTACCGGTATATTACATTTAGAAAAAGTTTCACACTGTGACAAACGATTATCCAGTAATATTCTCTTGAAGATAACCTTCTTCTTTTTTTAAAAAATTAAATATGATATAAATACAGATGGTAATTCATCACCGTAAGCACTTAAATGAGAAATTAACATCTGTAGTTTAATCAGATTTTTTTTGAATAAAAATAGTAAAACTGAATTTCTTCAAAACATATTTTCAAAAGAAGAATTGGTAACATGAGGTTTATTCAGCCGAAGCCACTTGTAGAAAGTTCACACCAAGATATTTCTATGAAACGTTATTGATGTGTTTTCCCTATCATTGCATATGCACAGTGATGCTAGTTTTAGGCTAGATCAGTGGAAACTGTTTAATCAGTAGCCACCATATTGTTGGAATGTCTGTCATTCATGTATACTCTCCACAGACATATTGCCATCAACTTGTATAAAAAAATAACCCTGGTGTGGCTAGGAACATTAGGAGGACATGCAACATTTATACAAGTTTATGTAAGGTACATGCTCTGTTCATACTTGCCAATTAACCTTTTGAAAATTCCATGAGGGAGAATGCATACTCAAAACTAAAGCATAAATGAAACATATTTATATACACCCTAGGGAAAATAGAACATTTTAAAATGGCACATTTTCGGTTGTTCTCAAACTCTCCACCTGACACGATCTTCAAAGAGGATCACTGCTGGCGTTAGGCCAGCAACTTCATTTCAGAATCAAAGAGATTTTTCCCTTCTTCTTTCAGATCATTAGATCTTGGAATATACAAATGGTTTGACTAATTCACTAGTTTGAAATGGTAAATTTAAGATTCCAAAATAGGGAGAGTTGGCAAGTATGCTTGTTCTGTTATGTTGTCTAGAATATACATAAGCAGGTTTAAAACACAGAGACACAGATTTGAATTTGTGCTTCTTCTTTCTAGGTTTAAACAAATGAATATCGAAACGTTTGTTTACGTATATGGTATGTAATATTGGGAATGCATCTGGTTTTATACTGAGTGGGTTTTCACCTTTAGACACCTTACTATCATGTGTTACCACTTGTAGCTGCAGTGTTAGTTTCCATAAAGGTGTGTTTCCACTGGTTTTTGGTAATTTTAGTCATTATTCACTGTATATATTTCTAGTTGTAATGTAATAAAAAAAAGAATAAATATCATAGTCATTATGACATGAAGGAGCTTTCCCATTTCATTTTTATACTCTTCAAAAAATACCCCAATGAACCAATGACTTGTCCAATAACCAGCCGCATATCATTTCTCAGTGTGCCATAGGATAGGTCTACTTCAAATCAAAGGTTTTGAGAATTTGAAATTTTACCAAAAATCATTGGGAACCTACCTATCAATTGTTTGGTCATAGGGAAGTGCATCACAGTTTCAGAGAGATAAAAAGTTACTCATTTACATTTGCCAATGAGACTTGAAACAACACAATAACTCCACTGTTCAACCAAAAATTGTCGATCTGTCAAATTTCAAGCCCTGATGAAGTAACACAACAAAGCTTCCCTGATCAGACTAGCAGGATGCGTACAAAGGGGAAGTAAGTATGTAGTATTTGTCTGACTATCACTGTCCAATGGTCAATGTACCATCAGATTTCCTACTGCATCTGTCTGACCATAGCACATATACCTGTGTAATTATAACTGTACATCAGTTCTCTAGTACTCTTTAAACATCTGGATCAGGGTTTATTATTTCTTTTTTCTAGGAAAATTAATAACTTGGGTCCCTTGAACTTGTTATAAACACACCTTACTGTCTTAAGCTCTGTACAAAATATTTTCTTTGGATAAATTAGAAATACTTTAAATGTATACCTTTAAATTTAATTCACAATGAAAGTTAACACATTTTATAGAATACCTTAATAAATACTATTACACATATCTAATGTTACACATATTTATACAACATCACAACACATATCTAATGTTACACATATTTATACGACATCACAACACATATCTAATGTTACACATATTTATACGACATCACAACACATATCTAATGTTACACATATTTATACGACATCACAACACATATCTAATGTTACACATATTTATACGACATCACAACACATATCTAATGTTACACATATTTATACGACATCACAACACATATCTAATGTTACACATATTTATACGACATCACAACACATATCTAATGTTACACATATTTATACGACATCACAACACATATCTAATGTTACACATATTTATACGACATCACAACACATATCTAATGTTACACATATTTATACGACATCACAACACATATCTAATGTTACACATATTTATACGACATCACAACACATATCTAATGTTACACATATTTATACGACATCACAACACATATCTAATGTTACACATATTTATACGACATCACAACACATATCTAATGTTACACATATTTATACGACATCACAACACATATCTAATGTTACACATATTTATACGACATCACAACACATATCTAATGTTACACATATTTATACGACATCACAACACATATCTAATGTTACACATATTTATACGACATCACAACACATATCTAATGTTACACATATTTATACGACATCACAACACATATCTAATGTTACACATATTTATACGACATCACAACACATATCTAATGTTACACATATTTATACGACATCACAACACATATCTAATGTTACACATATTTATACGACATCACAACACATATCTAATGTTACACATATTTATACGACATCACAACACATATCTAATGTTACACATATTTATACGACATCACAACACATATCTAATGTTACACATATTTATACGACATCACAACACATATCTAATGTTACACATATTTATACGACATCACAACACATATCTAATGTTACACATATTTATACGACATCACAACACATATCTAATGTTACACATATTTATACGACATCACAACACATATCTAATGTTACACATATTTATACGACATCACAACACATATCTAATGTTACACATATTTATACGACATCACAACACATATCTAATGTTACACATATTTATACGACATCACAACACATATCTAATGTTACACATATTTATACGACATCACAACACATATCTAATGTTACACATATTTATACGACATCACAACACATATCTAATGTTACACATATTTATACGACATCACAACACATATCTAATGTTACACATATTTATACGACATCACAACACATATCTAATGTTACACATATTTATACGACATCACAACACATATCTAATGTTACACATATTTATACGACATCACAACACATATCTAATGTTACACATATTTATACGACATCACAACACATATCTAATGTTACACATATTTATACGACATCACAACACATATCTAATGTTACACATATTTATACGACATCACAACACATATCTAATGTTACACATATTTATACGACATCACAACACATATCTAATGTTACACATATTTATACGACATCACAACACATATCTAATGTTACACATATTTATACGACATCACAACACATATCTAATGTTACACATATTTATACGACATCACAACACATATCTAATGTTACACATATTTATACGACATCACAACACATATCTAATGTTACACATATTTATACGACATCACAACACATATCTAATGTTACACATATTTATACGACATCACAACACATATCTAATGTTACACATATTTATACGACATCACAACACATATCTAATGTTACACATATTTATACGACATCACAACACATATCTAATGTTACACATATTTATACGACATCACAACACATATCTAATGTTACACATATTTATACGACATCACAACACATATCTAATGTTACACATATTTATACGACATCACAACACATATCTAATGTTACACATATTTATACGACATCACAACACATATCTAATGTTACACATATTTATACGACATCACAACACATATCTAATGTTACACATATTTATACGACATCACAACACATATCTAATGTTACACATATTTATACGACATCACAACACATATCTAATGTTACACATATTTATACGACATCACAACACATATCTAATGTTACACATATTTATACGACATCACAACACATATCTAATGTTACACATATTTATACGACATCACAACACATATCTAATGTTACACATATTTATACGACATCACAACACATATCTAATGTTACACATATTTATACGACATCACAACACATATCTAATGTTACACATATTTATACGACATCACAACACATATCTAATGTTACACATATTTATACGACATCACAACACATATCTAATGTTACACATATTTATACGACATCACAACACATATCTAATGTTACACATATTTATACGACATCACAACACATATCTAATGTTACACATATTTATACGACATCACAACACATATCTAATGTTACACATATTTATACGACATCACAACACATATCTAATGTTACACATATTTATACGACATCACAACACATATCTAATGTTACACATATTTATACGACATCACAACACATATCTAATGTTACACATATTTATACGACATCACAACACATATCTAATGTTACACATATTTATACGACATCACAACACATATCTAATGTTACACATATTTATACGACATCACAACACATATCTAATGTTACACATATTTATACGACATCACAACACATATCTAATGTTACACATATTTATACGACATCACAACACATATCTAATGTTACACATATTTATACGACATCACAACACATATCTAATGTTACACATATTTATACGACATCACAACACATATCTAATGTTACACATATTTATACGACATCACAACACATATCTAATGTTACACATATTTATACGACATCACAACACATATCTAATGTTACACATATTTATACGACATCACAACACATATCTAATGTTACACATATTTATACGACATCACAACACATATCTAATGTTACACATATTTATACGACATCACAACACATATCTAATGTTACACATATTTATACGACATCACAACACATATCTAATGTTACACATATTTATACGACATCACAACACATATCTAATGTTACACATATTTATACGACATCACAACACATATCTAATGTTACACATATTTATACGACATCACAACACATATCTAATGTTACACATATTTATACGACATCACAACACATATCTTATGTTACACATATTTATACAACATCACAACACATATCTAATGTTACACATATTTATACGACATCACAACACATATTTGATTTAACACATATTTATACGACATCACAACACATTTAATTTAACACATTTATATGACATCACAACAGTTGTCATATTTTACACATGTTTATATGACATCACAACAGTTGTCATATTTAACACATATTTATATGACATCACAACAGTTGTCATACTTCATTTTACACATATTTATATGACATATCACAACAGTTGTCATATTAAACACATATTTATACAACATCACAACAGTTGTCATATTTAACACATATTTATATGACATCACAACAGTTGTCATACTTCATTTTACACATATTTATATGACATATCACAACAGTTGTCATACTAACTTTACATATATCTATGTGACAATATATTGATAATGGCTTGTGTTTCTAACCTCTATGGAAGTGTAAAGGTGACTGGCCACCCAGATAACTGAAACTTACACTATAGCTGTAGACAGTAACATAGGATATGCTCAGCTACTAAACACACTGATGTTTTAAACAAAACAAGATTATGTCGAGCACACTCAGGACTTCAGCAACACAGAAACAGCTGTCAGATATATAAATGTTGCATTTATTTGTGTGAATTTGTTTAGCCAGGATTGTCTGTGTGGTTGTGTCATGATTGTGTATAACACTTGGTAATGTCAGTATGGTGGTGGTGGTGGTGGGTTACCTTGATATAGTTCTATTTTTCCTGAATATTTTATTTACTTTTTTTGTTCTCATTTTCTTAAACTTTTTCATCTGTATTTTTGTTTTCTTTTTGGTTTTGGTGCTTTTGCTATTTTGGAATCATGATAAAATATATATTTGGTTTGGAAATATTTTTTATCAAAATGTTTTATCATGCTGATCCATATACTTAATGAGGATGGCTGTTTGATTACATAGATATGCAAATGTCTCCTGCTTTGTAGAAAATAAAGGTGGGGGTGATATTGTTTTCAGTTTGTCCATCTGTCACACAATGACTTCCATGCAATAACTTCTCTAAAAAGTCATGGAATTCCGCCAAACTTGGCATTTACTTGCATAATGGCTGTACTTAAAATAGTTTTGCAATTGAGCAGAATCCATGTATTCAATACAGTAACAGGTACTTCATGATTCTGATTGGTCAACTTGTTCCAGAAAAAATAACTTGTCTAAACTTGTGATGGATTTTAGTCGCACTGGACATGTGCTTTCATAATATAAATGCTCAGACCATGTTCTTAATCCATGCATATTTAGAAAGGTTACAGGTATTTCTCTTCATTCTGATTGGCTGACACAATCCAAACAAATAATTGTAGATTTTAATGAAACTTTCGGTGTAATTGCATAATGGCAATACCGAGGCCAAATTTGAAGATTATGGTGAATTTGTGCATTTTTAATGAGGTCAAAGGTAATTCCTCAATTCTGTTTTGTTTCATTTTCCATATGACACATCGTATCGTTCTATTTAAGGACATATCTTCATCCAATTCGGTTTATCATATATATAGTAAATATCAACTAACACCTTCATTGTTATTACTGGACAAAAAGGATATTAGGATCAAACTGTATATGATATTTCTGTTTGTAATATGTAAAGCATATCTATGGAATGACTACTGATTATGATTTGTATCCAGTAGAGTAATCAAGTATAATCTACCCACTGCATCAGGTAGAATGTATATACCTGGTAAAGATAAACTCGTGAAATGGGATATTGAAAAAGTATTATCAATTCTTTAAGTTAATTAGATATTTGGTCTATCAAATTTTAATTAGATATTATAGAAAACCTATTTTCTCTGTTTACCAAATGCATTATTTGACGTAATTCACCTGTCAGAATTAAGCATTTGATGTGAGACATGTATTGTGGTATTGGTGTTGTACATTGAAATTATAAAAAGCGTAACCAAAGACTGTGAGTGATGATAACAATATTGATATTACAATGCCTTCGGCCAAATACAGCACTTGTTTCTATATGATTTCATGTGCTCCATCTTTTGTAATGATTGAAACATTATATAGCATCTAATAAACCAATTAAAAACTTTTATTTCGGTGAACATGTGGTTATATGGACCTTAGAAAGTGATATTGACCTCCACTTCATCTCAGTATATATCACTTTCTCAGTCCATATAACCACTTGTTCAACTCGACAAAAGTCCATAATTGATAAATGATTTATAAGGGGTCAAGATTTGATAAATGATATATAAGGGGTCAAGGTTTGATGAATGATATATAAGGGGTCAAGGTTTGATGAATGATATATAAGGAGTCAAGGTTTGATAAATGATTTATAAGGGGTCAAGGTTTGATAAATGATATATAAGGGGTCAAGGTTTGATAAATGATATGTAAGGGGTCAAAGTTTGAAAAGAACAAATGTTTACATGTAGTTTTAAAACTACAACATGCAAACCCCATGTACCTCTTGTTAAGTCAGTTTCATTTGTTGTTTGTCGAGTTTTCACTTAAAATTTGTCTTCCTCATCTACTTCAGTTTGTACTGGGACTATGCACTGACTGTTTACTTGGACGAGATTGTCTACATCCATTGCCACCAACAACGTAAGTATGCGTTCTCCAATGCCGTAACAGCTTTCTTTTTGTGTTTCCGTAATATAGTGTTACAGGCATTTAATATTTACCTATTCTGTCATTCGTCCATATGATATTTTGTTTAGAATTTGTGTTTAGCCCTATTGCTCTTTGATATTAATTTATTTTATTTTACAACAGTTATGACAACAACTATTGTCAACTTCTATCAATCATTCTTGTTGGCCTAATGTTAATCAGCATACAGGGATTCATGTGGGAAGAAATCAGACTACAAGGAGAAAACCCAGGTAGTCGGGCACATAAGATCAGGCAGTGAACCCTGGCCTTCCTGTTAATATCATGTTGTCCACTGCACCGCTTGACTACTCTCCATCACTCTTATACTGTCAGTCTAACAGTCATCAAACAACCTATGGGGATACATCATAGGGATACTGTATATATAGCTATAGCCTCTCTGGGGGGGCCTGGTGAACCTCAACCGAGAAAAGTTAATACAAAGACCAAGGAGGAGAATAACATAAAGGACTTAATGGTGCTGGTTCCCAAGGTCATTTTCAAGGTCCCTGTTGTTAGTTATAGTTCAGCGTTGGCTGTTTTGTCTACAGGAGCCAGCTGGGGGCATTCATTTCTTACATACTCCCTTAGGGGGCCTGGTGAACTTCAACAGATCATCAAACAAACTATGGGGATACATCATAGGCATACTGTATATATAGCTATAGCCTCTGTTAGGAGGCCTGGTGAACCTCAACATATCAAACAACCTATGGGGATACATCACAGGGATACTATATATATAGTTATAGCCTCTCTTAGGGGGCCTGGTAAACCTCAACAGACCTTCAAACAACCTATGGGGATACATCGTAGGGATACTATATATATACTATATATATAGCTATAGCCGCTCTTAGGGGGCCTGGTGAACCTCACCAGATCAAACAACCTATGGGGATCCATCATAGGTATACTATATATATAGCTCTCGCCTCTCTTAGGGGGCCTGGGGAACCTCAACAGAGCAAACAACATATGGGGATACATCATAGGCATACTATATATATAGCTATAGCCGCTCTTAGGGGGCCTGGTGATCCTCAACAGATCAAACAACCTATGGGAATACATCATAGGGATACTGTATATATAGCTATATCCTCTCTTAGTGGGCCTGGTGATCCTCAACAGATCAAACAACCTAGGGTGATACATCATAGGGATACAATATATATAGCTATAGGAACCCTGGCCTTCCTGTTAATATCATGTTGTCCACTGCACCGCTTGACTACTCTCCATCACTCTTATACTGTCAGTGTAACAGTCATCAAACAACCTAAGGGGATACATCAAAGGGATACTGTATATATAGCTATAGCCTCTCTTAGGGGGCATGGTGAACCTCAACAGAGCAAACAACCTATGGGGATACATCACAGGGATACTATATATATAGCTATAGCATCTCTTAGGGGGCCTGGTGCACCTCAACAGAGCAAACAAACTATGGGGATACATCATAGGCATACTATATATATAGCTATCGCCTCTCTTAGGGGGCCTGGTGCACCTCAACAGAGCAAACAACCTATGGGGATACAACATAGGGATACTATATATATAACTATAGCCTCTCTTAGGGGGCATGGTGAACCTCCACAGAGCAAACAACCTATGGGGATACATCACAGGGATACTATATATATAGTTATAGCCTCTCTTAGGGGGCATGGTGAACCTCCACAGAGCAAACAACCTATGGGGACACATCATAGGGATACTATATTTATAGCTATAGCCTCTCTTAGGAGGCGTGATGAACCTCAACAGATCAAACATCCTATGGGGATACATCATAGGCATACTGTATATATAGCTATAGACTCTCTTAGGGGGCCTGGTAAACCTCAACAGACCTTCAAACAACCTATGGGGATACATCGTAGGGATACTATATATATACTATATATATAGCTATAGCATCTCTTAGGGGGCCTGGTGCACCTCAACAGAGCAAACAACCTATGGGGATACAACATAGGGATACTATATATATAGTTATAGCCTCTCTTAGGGGGCCTGGTGCACCTCAACAGAGCAAACAACCTATGGGGACACATCATAGGGATACTATATATATCGCTATAGCCTCTCTTAGGGGGCATGGTGAACCTCCACAGAGCAAACAACCTATGGGGATACATCACAGGGATACTATATATATAGTTATAGCCTCTCTTAGGGGGCCTGGTGCACCTCAACAGAGCAAACAACCTATGGGGATACAACATAGGGATACTATATATATAGCTATAGCATCTCTTAGGGGGCCTGGTGACCACCAACAGGTCATCAAACAACCTATGGGGCTACATCATAGGGATACTGTATATATAGCTATAGCCGCTCTTAGGGGGCCTGATGAACCTCAACAGATCAAACACCCTATGGGATACATCATAGGGATACAATATATATATAGCTATAGCCGCTCTTAGGGGGCCTGGTGAACTTCAACAGATCATCAAACAAACTATGGGGATACATCATAGGCATACTGTATATATAGCTATAGACTCTCTTAGGGGGCCTGGTAAACCTCAACAGACCTTCAAACAACCTATGGGGATACATCACAGGGATACTATATATATAGTTATAGCCTCTCTTAGGGGGCATGGTGAACCTCCACAGAGCAAACAACCTATGGGGATACATCGTAGGGATACTATATATATAACTATAGCCTCTCTTAGGGGGCTTGGTGAACCTCAACAGATCCTCAAACAACCTATGGGGATACATCACAGGGATACTATATATATAGTTATAGCCTCTCTTAGGGGGCATGGTGAACCTCCACAGAGCAAACAACCTATGGGGATACACCATAGGGATACTATATATATCGCTATAGCCTCTCTTAGGAGGCGTGATGAACCTCAACAGATCAAACAACCTATGGGGGTACATCATAGGGATACTGTATATATAGCTATAGACTCTCTTAGGGGGCCTGGTGAACCTCAACAGAGCAAAGTTAATACAAAGACCAAGTAGGAGAATAACATAAAGGACTTAATGTTGCTGGTTCCCAAGGTCATTTTCAAGGTCACTGTTGTTAGTTATAGTTCAGCGTTGGCTATTTTGTCTACAGGAGCAAGCTGGGGGCATTCATTTCTTACAGACATTTTCTAGTTTCATTTATAGTCAGTAATGTTTGGTAGAAATAATAGTGTACACCGTCTCCTCCACTTCCTTAAGGGAGATATCTCCCCTTGATATTATATTTGTCTCTGTTCCAGCTGACTGTGGTGGTACGATTGTGTTGGTGGGACAGGACGGAGTACAGCGCCCTCCTATCCACTTCCCTAAGGGAGGTCACCTGCTCGCCTTCCTGTCGTGTCTCGAGAACGGACTGCTTCCTCATGGCCAACTGGACCCGCCTCTCTGGTCACAACGCGGTAAAGGTAGACCTTTAACCCTTTCACCTGTCTAGCCACACCCACCTTTATGCAAATTAGCACACTGTTAAGGGGCAGACATAGGGTGGAGGGGTTGTCGGGGTGGAAGGGTTAATGTTGCTGTGTGTCTTTTGCATTCATTGAATTAATGTAAACCTCTTCATTTTACTATCACCTTTGACAATGGCAGTACTATCTGGCTATTTGATATAAGTGATGTGGGGAAAAGGTGTAATAATGAATAGGTTTACAAGTTTGTTTTGTGACCTCTAACCTCTGTACCTTTTCGACCTTCACCCAGTCGTACTATCCAATCCAGAATTTTAAGTATGAATTATTTTATCCAGTATTAATTCTAATTTGAGAAATATTCAGAATGAGAAACAGTATTGATCAATGATTTCATCTTTATATTTAAAAAACAAAAAGAACTAATTATCTAACTGTCTTTAAATTGAAAACACTTGTTCCATTTACAGGAAGTGTGATGAGGGTGAACGAGTTAGATAGGTGCAATGTTTCTGGGCTTATTTTATGCATCATGAAAATTATTTTGTTGTCAGCTTTTCCTCCTAGTACTAACTTTTGTGTTTTATACCTTCAAATTAACCATGTAAATATGTCACGAAAGAATTTACAAAATAATACTTTCTTCCTTTATTGAAATACGGCAAATACATAAATTTATCATATATATGTAAGAAAATTCAAGTTCATGCCAATAGAAGATGTTTGTATTTTTGTAAATTGATATAACCAGATTAATTTTATCCTGAAAAATTAAAGTTCAGCCTATTTAGTTTGAGGTTATGGAGAGATAATTGAAGGATGTCATGTCCATGTGTTAGTGGGTCTGGTCCATGTGTTAGTGGGTCTGGTCCATGCTACCCAGCTATAAGCTTCCAGTAAGTGTGAGATGGTGAGGATGACTTGATCTTACATTTGTTTTTATAGTATTAGGGACCATCAGTATGAATGGGTGCTTAGTCAGTGAGTGCAAACTCTCCTATGCATGAAGGCTGGAGAATCTTCAAAGTTAGATATTACAAATAGCAACTAGGTTTCCATTCAAAAATACACTTTAAGATATATTTTATATTGTAGTTCAAATATTTCGAAGGTTTGGTGACAGAATTGGTTACACACAATGTCATGACAATAGAGATGATGTTGACCATGACATTTTTCCTCATTTCTAATAAGATTTTGGTATGTCTTCCCCAATTTGTTAAAAAGAAGAACTTATTAACATCACACACACACACAAAATGAAAATACTTGTTTCTACCAGAACAAAGAAATTATTTGTTGATTTTCCTTAAACAGTTGGACAACTGATAAGGCTTTGAAAAAATTACTTCCAGGTATTTTTTTTGTAGTGGTTGGGAGGGACAGCAAACAAGATAAAGTTCCTATAAAACATGAAATACTTAGTGAACGGTAGAAATAAACGAAATAAATCCTGTGAGTAGATAGTAAAGTATTTTTTCTTATTTTGTCTAAAACCTGTAGGTTACATCCTAACATTACTTCCAGATTCAGGACATTGTATATGTTAAACGTAGGTTTCACCATTTCTCTTTCCAGAAAGAAGTCTTATTTTGTTTTTGATGTTCTTTATTTTGTTTCATTGTTATGTGAGATGTTTGTTGTACCGAGTGTGTATTCCTTTAACACAGGTGTACACAATAGACAGGCCAGTATGAACCAAACCTACGCTATCCTCATCACGCGTAACAGTTGAGTGTTTATGGCATGTTCCCTTCCTAATCCCTGTGTTTACTGCGCCCGTCACCGCTGTTTGTAGTCCGCTTACCGCTCATTTACTGGTTAACTCATTCACCTCTGAAATTTCATAATGAACCATTCGAACCTTTGAATTGTAAGAGTTCAAATGTGTCTTCAGGGGTGAATGAGTTAAAAGTAATGCAGTACTACTTTGATGGTGAAGCTTAGTAATTGCTAAATATCATGCACTTTTACACAAGAGGCTCGCAGCTTTGCTAGGTTAATCCACCCTATGTCTGCTACACTTTGATCTTAGCCAAAAGGCCGAGAAGTGTCTGCTATTTGCTGTAGGAATGCTAGCTGTTCCCACTCAAGTTATGTAATTAAAGCATTATTTCACTATCAGTTATACAGTACTTTTCATGTAACGTTCCGGTTACCATCATGTTTTTCTGACAAATGAGAAGTGATATTAAGCGAAATCTACTGTATTAGTAAATGTACCTTTGCTTGTCAGAAGAATAGCTCTACAGAGTTAATTTAATCGATGGTGGTAATCTCTGACTACATAGGCTAACACTGGCACCCAAACATCAGAGAGGAAGGCGATGTTTACACCAAGCCTGTCTAGTACATCAATCGAAAAATGGTAGCTGTGATGTATTTTCGCGTGGTGGTTGGCCCCTCTGTATAGTGTCAGTGATGTTATAACACTAGCTGACAGCGGTAGATTAGATCTGTATATCTGTGATGTATTTTCGCGTTGTGGTTGACCCCTCTGTAAAGTGTCAGTGTTGTTATAACACTAGCTGACAGCGGTAGATTAGATCTGTATATCTGTGATGTATTTTCGCGTTGTGGTTGGCCCCTCTGTATAGTGTCAGTGATGTTATAACACTAGCTGACAGCGGTGGATTAGAACTGTTTATCTGTGATGTATTCTTGCATGGTGGTTGGCCCCTCTGTATAGTGTCAGTGTTGTTATAACACTAGCTGACAGCGGTGGATTAGATCTGTATATCTGTGATGTATTCTTGCGTGGTGGTTGGCCCCTCTGTATAGTGTCAGTGATGTTATAACACTAGCTGACAGCGGTAGATTAGATCTGTATATCTGTGATGTATT